AAAAAATCTCCTCTACACAAAAGAGGGACACTAAAGCTTGATAGGAGAATGTCGTCTATCTCTAATAGTGGAATGCCTTCATGATAAGAAGGATACTAGAGGAGAAAAAAAATGTAAGGTTACCAAAATTCTAACTTCTATATAAGGAGAGGGGCCCTGAATTTGAGTAGGGGATGCGACCTACTAAAAACAGAGGAATGACTCAGCAGTAAGAAAGTTAGAATGAGAGAAGAAATAAAAGGAATAACTATAAAAATTTCAACTTCTACACAAGGAGATGGACCCTAAATTTTCGTAGGGAATGCCAGCTACAAAAAATAGGAGAATGTGTCAACTGTAAGAAAGTTAGAACAAGGGAGGAGAAAGAAGAAGAATGGCTACAAAAATTTCAACTTCTACATAATTAGAGGGGCCATGAATTTTATTAGGGGATGTCGCCTACAAAAGAAAGGGGAATGCCTCATTTGTAACAGAGTCAGAGGAGGAAGGGAGAATATTAGATGAGCATTTTGCCTCATGCCCATGGGAGTATTTATAGGGTAAAAAAAGGGGAAAATCATTTAAAAATTAGGGGAAATTTTGCCTCCAATTCAGTCAAAAATTTTCAAAAATTATTTTAGAATTTTTTAGAAATGTTTTGGGACCCACCCAAAAAATAATAAGAGATAAAAATTTATCTCTTTATTTCAAAAAAAGATGGGCCCCATGCAAAAAAATTAAAAATAAAAGGAGGGGCAGCCGCCCCCTTAAAAAAAAGACTATGGGCCCCACCACAAAAAAAAAAAGATGCATAACGACACCCGGTTATTATAACCGACTACTAATATAAACGGGCGCCCCAAGGGTGCAACTTTCAGTCATGCACAAATTTTTTTCATGTTATGCACAATTTGTTCAAATTACAATCTTGCATATGAGTTCTATATAAGAATCCTGTTCAAGTATATACTTTTCGGGATTAATATTATCAATGCTGTCCTCTCATGCCAAATGAGATGCTTAGAGAACTCTCATTTTAAAAGATCAATGATTTTCTAATGTCCAAACAAATCAAGTCTCTTCATTTCAATTGAGTTGAAATGATTTTCGATAAATGTCAGTATGATAGAAAATTCACATATGACACAAATCTATAAATTTATTTTTTAAATATCTTTTGGAGGTTCGCGTTGATGTCCAGGAAGCAATTACACCTCGTAATTTTTTCGAAAATTATAATTCTACGGTTCAAATAGTTTGAAATGTTGTACTATATATTTTCAGACTCTATATGTTTCAATGTCCGAAAATAGGGGGGCAAAACTGTATATCATCAAAAAATTATCTTGATTGGGCAAGAATATCGAATTTTGATATCATTAAGACATTCAAATGCCCAATAAGCGGTCTATGATCAAAAGATTCAACATCGGACGTCGATTCAAACCACCCACAATTTACCATTGATCTTCTTGATATTTACTAGCCATGCCACTCTTAGCAAAATATAAATTGACCCCTCATTTGTCATAGAAGGGAGCTCGAAAGGGGGGAAGAAAGAGGCCCAAGCAAGAAGAGAAGAGAAGAGAAGGAAGCAAGGATAATTAATAAGGAAGAGACTCCTCCTCGACCACCACTGAACTTTCACCTGGCAGCCTACCGACGCCGAAGTTCTGCCCGAATTTCTTCTAACGCCAGAGTTCTGCCTGGGCGTCGACTAACGTCAGACTTCTACCCGACGCCGGACCTCTACTCATCGCCGTATTTCTACCCGATGTCAGACTTCTACCTAATGCTAGAGTCCTACCTGGCCACCAACTAACGTCGTACTTCTACCCGATGCCAGACCTGTCACAGCTCAATGCGATAAGACTTGTCCTGTTCGTGTTGAGTAGTGACAGAACCTCCGCTCATCGCCCGAATTCAACTCGATGCCGGACTTCAACCTGACGCTGGACTTTTACCCGACGCCAGACTTTCGCCCGTCGTCGGATTCCTACCGGACGCCGGACTTCCACCCATCACCAGAATTTCGCCGTATTTCTACCTGTCGTCGGACTTTTGCCCGTCGCCAGACATTCGTCAGACTTCTATGCAACACTGGACTTATGTCCAACGCTGGACTTCTAACCCACGCCGTCCTCCCGATCTTCGTTGCCAGACAACGGTCTTTATGACCTCCGGCGCCCACCAACTACTGTCCTTCTGACTTACGTCGCCCACCGACTACAATCCTTCCGACTTCCGTCGCCCACCGATTATGGCCCTTTCGATCATGTGAACAAATCAACAGTGATTCTTCCTAATTTCACCATGTAACATACTCTGGACGATGCATATTTGTTACATTAAGCTAAGGCCTTCCCCCAATAAAAGGTCTTACTTGTGATCAACTGCAAATATTAGTGGATTCATTCAAATTGGACTTGGCCCGTGATTTTTTTCCCTTATCAAAGGTTTTCCACGTAAAAATCTTGGTGTCTCTTATAAGTGATGCACTCTCTCCTTTTATCTGATTGCAACTAGATCTTTGTACAATGCTAAGACGCTAAACTTTATATTTCTCTACCGCCGCGAATACTCCAAGACACAACAAAACTATTTACTAAATTTATTGTAATATCAAAATTCAATAATGAAGTCATCTAATTCATGAGAGATATTTTTAAATTTAAGAATTCTTGTGGCATAGGATGTACCAGGCCAATACTCTTAGCATTCTGATTGGAATAAAAAAATTTAAGAATTCTTGTGGGCGAAATTCGAGCTCTTGTCCTACTCCAAGAAAAAAGAATGACTATATGGAGAGGACATGTGTCTATCACCTAACAGAACGCAAATAATTTAATAAATAAGAAAAAAGTAATTATTTTTTTAACTTATATTAAACTAATTAAATAGTAGCTAAACTTGAATAATGAAAATTATATTTTATCATTATTATATAATCAAAATAATTAGAATTAATGAAATTAATTAATTTTCTTACGTGTTAGAAATTTTGTGTCGGTAAAGTTGATATTTTATGTCTTAATTTTGGACAAAAGTTTAACATGCACATATAAAAGTTACATAAGTTAAAAAAACTTCAAATGTAAAACTTGAAAAGGTAAAAAAATTACCATAACCGGTCCGGTTGAAAAATCCACTTTATTTAATGAGATACAAGAATCTTTTCTTCCTCAGACTTGGATAAGAGAGGATTATTTGAAAATAAAATGTCTGATTTCTCTATTGTAAGGATTTTAGAAAATATGGTGTCCAAAGCAGGGAATTAAAGCCTAATAGTGTGATTAGATCTTGGCTGAAGTCTATAGAAGATGGCGATAATCGTTGGTGGAGGTTGTCCGCTAGAGTTGATGATCGTCATCGGTAGAGGGAATTGGTGATGGACATCGAGGGTGACGAGAGCTAGAAAATGCTAAGGATCTCTCTTCCTCTCTCAACTCTTGAATGCCCTCTATATAGACAATGAGACTCTCTCTAAATTTATATGCTTTTTATCTTGGAATCGACTAATCTTTGGCACGACGTTATATTCATCTCATCAAATTGCTCGATTTGGCTATTTTAAAATATAAAATTTGAAAATTATTTGGTCATCCAATACAAATTTAAAGTTTCTAATCATGCTTTAAATATCTGATTTGATCTCATTTAGCCTCGGATTGGAACACTTTGTGTATCATTGTATTCGACTTGTCGATACATTGGATTATAAGTTTGCAGAAATGAAAATTAAAATGATATAAATTTTAAATTATTGAAAATTTCAATTTAAATTTTGCATTGCGATTCATGCCACTCATGTCATGCCAATTTTTGGCAGATATGTAAATATTTAATAATTATTCAATGTAAATTGTAATTAAATAATTCAACTCATCCAAGATTTGTGATATTTTGCTTAACATTGTTAAAATCTATTACTATTTAAATATAATAATTAATCAAGCTTCCAAAACATGACAAGAGTGTCCGGGTGAATTTCAGCTAGTACACTATCTTTAAAGTTTTATATTAATATTACAAGGCATATATCCATATATTCAATGTTTTAGGTATTTAAAACGTGCGGATAAATATTTGCATATGTTGTACTATCAGAGGACATGTGGGAACTTCAAAACCCTCAGCTTAATTTTTGGGTTGCAGAAGATTTTAAAATTTTAAAATATATTTTTAGATGTAACATGAATTAATGTCGAAAAATAGGATGGCAAATGATACTATAAAAAATTCATACAATCGACACGAATCTTGATACACATTTGAATTGAAAACCTTCAAAATGAATGTCATGATCATCAAAACATTGATGTCAGCAAACTTATATTCAAACTGAAGTCTTGATGAAACGAATCTATCGATGCTGCAAATGATTCAATCCAATTCCGAATGGGTTCAAATTAAGCTCTTATTATAAATTAATTGATCGAACAACCTGATTTTGACATTATTAAGACATTCAATTATTTGATAAACAATCCACAATTAACATGGTCAATATGGACTGTAGGATGCAGTGCCTCAAATTATGACCAAAATGCTCATCTCAAAAAAGCTTGTAAATAGGGGTTAGGAAGGTTCAAGAGTTAAAATGAACTAAATAATTCTCTTGTATTTCCCACCAACTGTGTCATAGCCAACGAGCACCACCAACAATTGTCACCACCATCACCAAATTTCTTTCAACATATAACCCTATTGTTACGTTTTTTTAATCATCCATCTATGGACATTAGATTTCTATAATTCCCATAAAGAAACTCCGATAATTATTCACAATTATAAATAATCTCATCTTCTCCATCTGTGACGACATGAAGATTCTTATATCTAATATTATATAGTAGATTGCTATAACTAGACTAAGTCTTGTGATCTTTTCACTTCTTGGATTTTCCACGTAAAAAAAATTATTTTTCTTAATAAAAAAAACGGACCCACAAACAAATGGGTTATAAATTACGATTGAAACAACTACGTTCAGAGCAGAGATATTGCTTCATTACGGGCCTTCTCCAGCTTTTCTTCTTGATTTCTGCCTTTGTATTCTTTAATAAGAAGAATGAACTGCCTCCCTTCTTCTTCAAATCTTTGTCTTTCTACTGATTTTGTGCAAAAATTTGGCTTCTTCCTGCCATTAAAAATACCGCACAGCGCTCAGTCTTTCTCATCAACTCCATACCTTCGCCTTTGCAAGAAGTGTTACTCTGTTGCTTCGAACTCTTCCACTTCCCTTCGAAGAACAACAAATTATCAGCCGAGCTTATGGGATGACAGTCAAATACAGTCTCTGAATACTACTTCTTTCACTGTAATATACATTTATGTCGTTCAGTGCTCTTTTTCTTCTTGTTTTATTATATATCAAATGTTTCTACACAGGGAGATGTGCATGAAAAGAGAAGAGAGAAGCTGAAGGAGGATGTGAAGCGTCTTATTAAGGAGAAGAGTTTTGCTGATCAGCTGGAGCTTTTTGATTCATTGCAAAAGCTTGGGGTGGCTTATCAGTTTGAAGAGGAAATCAAATATTTATTAAATTTGATGAAATATTCAGAAGAGAAGTTAAGAATGGAATTCACTGAGGACGTTCATGTCATGGCCTTGTATTTTAGGCTTTCAAGGGAGCATGGCTTTGAGGTCTCCAAAGGTAATCAATTAGCTATTTGGTTTGATGAAAAAGAAATATAAAATATTAAGAAAATGGAGAACTTCAAATTTTGTGTTCCATTAGCTGAATAAGGAATACAATATAAAATTTCAATGATCTTTTTTTTCAATTCTTAGTTCATTTTTATGTATTGGAAACTCTCCTATTTTTTATCAAATTATATTCTTTTTTTATCGTAAGCTAGTTGCTGTGTTAACACTGCCTCCCGCCACCCATCATTATCTGTTGAAGCCCACCACCATCTGCCAATAAGGGTGTAAGTAAGCCAAGATTTTTCATGAATTGGCTCAAACTTGTCTCATTAAAGAGTGAGCGAATCAAGTTTATCGAGTCACGAGCCTAACAGTTTTCAAGTAAGCTGAGCTCGAACTCAGTAAGCAAGTTCGAGCTCAACAAGAATTGAACAAGTTTAGCTCGATTAGGCACACATTCCACTCGACTTGTCCACACCCATAGCCTCAACTATCAGCTATCAACGCAACTGATCCCTACAAACTATCACCATCATTTAATTTTATATTACATTCATTTTACTTAAAGTGATTAAAAAATATCTCCTACATTCTTTTTGCACACATCCGACATATTCATAATATCATGTGATAACTCACTCATTCTTCTTGTTTTCATGTAATAATTTAGTCAGGTGAAATTTCAGTTGTCATTTTTCAGGAAGCAAAATGCTAATGTTTTGGTACCAGGTGACTAAAATCCAGTCGGTCCTGATTTCCCACACATTATACGTGTGGGGTTCTATGGCTGTTTTTTAACCTCATGTGTATTTGTCTTTTAGATTTTTTTTTTTTTTTTACATTTTTACTTTTACAGATGATAGTGATATATGGCTCAAACATAAAAAAAAAACTATAATAAATTGGCCCTAATTTGATCAATATATGTTTTAATTTTCCTGTAAATTATTTACATTTAATTAATTTTCTTCAAACTATTAACAAATTATTTATAAACAAAATTTGTACTTCTGTATAGATTTATTCGGTAAAAGCTCCAAAGATGATTTTTTTTTGTTCAATCCTTAGTTCATTTTTTATGTTTATTGTAAACTCGCCTATTTTTATCAAATTCTTTTTGTCACCTCAAGCAAATTGCGTTGACACTATTTGCCACCACCCGCCATTATCTATTGGTCGTCGCAGCCATCGCCAGCATCCCCGCTCGCTAAAGGCCACCACCATCTGCCTACGGCCATCTCCACTATCGCTTCCGCTAGAGGTGTAACATAAGCTGGCTCAAACTCGACTCATTAAAGAGCTAATAAATCGAGCTTATCAAGCCACGAGCCTAATAGTTTTTGAGTAAGCTGAACTCGAACTCAGTAAACAAGTTTGAACTCAACAAGAATTAAACAAATTTAGCTCGATTAGGCAAACATTCGACTCGACTTATTTACACCCCTAGCCGCTACTACCAGCTCGATGGCAATTGACCTCTGCAAACTATCACTATCATTTAATTTTATATTAAACATTTTACTTAAAATTGTTAAAAAAAAAAATTTCTCCTACATTTTTTTTGCACTCATCCTATTGTATTTATAATCATGTGATAACCAACTCATTCTTCATGTTTTCATGTAATCATTTAGTTAGGTGAAATGTCAGTTGTCACTTGTCAAACGTTAATGTTTTGGTACCAAGGTGACTAAAAACCAGTCACTCCTGGTTTCTGGGGTTATATGGCTGTTTTTTAACCTCATCATTTAATTTATAACACTAATTTGATCAATATATGGTTTAATTTTCCTGTACATTATTTACATTTAATTAACTTCTTCAATATGATCAAAATTTGTACTTATGTGTAGATTTATTGGTTAAAAGCTACAAGGATGAGAAGGAAAAATTATTCCGTCAGGTTACCTGATGTAGAGCTACATCAGGTAGCTTAGGGGTGTCAATTTCGGGTCACGGGTCGAGTTCGGGTCGAACCCGAACTGACCCAGGTGAAAAATGGGTCGACCCTAACCCGACCCGAGTAGAGAAACGGGTCGAAAATCCGAACCCTAACCCGACCCGGCGGGTTGCCGGGTTGACCCGACCCGACCCGCGAAGCAGAGAACCCGACCGCGGCAGTATGCGGCAGTGGGCGAGGGATTACTATGTTCGTGTATTGCTCGGTATTTGCTCAGTATTGCTAGGTATTACTCGGTATTGCTTGGCATTAACGAGAAATACCGCTATGTGAAGACCAATACCCAGCAATACTGAGTAAAACTTAAAAGAACTCGGTATTGTTCGGTATTGCTCGGTATTGAACTTCACATAATAGTATTTTTTATTTTTGTCGAGCAAAATCGACAAATACCTAGCAATACCGAGCAACGCAAACTCCTAGGTCCATTCCGGGTCGATCGGGTGGTCGGGTCACGCGGTAAATAGTAAGTGCAGGTGACGATATATTATAGGCTACCTGATGTATCTCTACGTCAGGTAACCCGACGGAATAATTTTTCATTGAGGGATGCTTCAAGCCTTATGTTTTTGATGATATCAAAGGACTTCTAAAAAAAAAACCTCTTACATTTTTTTGCACTCATCGTACATATTATAATATCATGTGATAACTCACTCATACTTTTTTGTTTTCATGTAATCAATTGGTCTGATGAAAGGCCAGTTGTCAGGAAACAAAATATTATTGTATTGGTACCAGCTGGTTACTAAAAACCAATCTGTCTTCCACCCGCACAGTATATGTTTGGGGTTATATGGTTGTTTTTTAACATCATGTCTTATGCTTTTTAGATTTTTTTTTTTTTTTTTTTTTAACACTTTTACAGATGACAGTGATATATGGCTCAAATATATATAAACTATATAAAAAAAAATTAGCCCTAATTTGATCAATATATGGCTTAACTTTTCTTCAAAATACTTACAAATTAATTATGCGTAAAATTTGTACTTCTATATAGATTTATTGGTTAAAAGCTATAAAGATGAGAAGGGGTGCTTCAAGCCTTGTGTTTTTCATGATATCAAAGGATTGTTAAGTCTCTATGAAGCTTCATTTCTTTCTATGGAAGGAGAAGATGAAATAGATGAAGCAAAGGAATTTGCTCTAAAACATCTAAATGATTGCATGAGATCAAATTCTTCAACAAATCTAATCCTTGCAAAACACATAGCCCTAGCCTTGGAGCTTCCTTTGCACCATAGAATTCAGAAGCTTCAGGCTCCAATGTTCATCGAGCACGCTCGCAACATGAAAGAGCTTGATGTGGACCCAATCTTGCTTGAATTTGCTCAATTGGACTTCAACATGACCCAAAGCATCTACAATAGAGAGCTCAAGGAAATTACAAGGTACATGTTATTAGATATTATAAAAACATTACATTCTTATTTAACTGAATGAGGATTAATAATTCACAAGCATATATTTATATATTGTTATAATGTTTTAGGTGGTGGACAAAAATAAGTAATCTAGCTGGTGGTGAGTTGAGTTTTGCAAGGGAATGGCCTTTGGAGAGCTACTTCTTAGCCATATGTTTAGCAATGGAACCTCGTTTCTCAACATGTCGAAAAGAATTTGCTAAAGCAGTATGCTTCATAAATGTTGTTGATGATATCTATGACATCTACGGCTCATTGGACGAACTACAACACTTTACCGATGCTGTTGAGATGTAAGTAATCAAAAAGAACTTCTAATTGCAAGCAATTTTTTCAATGTTTTTTGTTTACTTAATAATAATCTATTTTTTATTTAATTTATTAAACTACTTATTTATGTCATAAGTGCTAAACTATTGATTGATTGATATATATATATTTAATCAAAATATAAGATATTGTATAATAATGATATATAGGACAACTATTTTGTCCTGCAAAATAACAAACTCATTTTATGGCATAAGATTAAATTATGTTATCTAATGTATTTTTTTATTATTTCAATCAACAAAAAACAGAAGAATGCTTACATAGAAAGTCAAGACATTTGTATATTAAATAGTAAAGTTATTTTATGACTAAAAATGGAACTCAAATTAATTATTTGATCCAAGAATTTTTTTTTATTAAATGCACTATTTTATTTATTTGTTTTGCCTTAAAACAACAACCACAATAAGCGTTTATTGCATATTACATGAATCATTTCTTTTTTTCCATTATGTTCTCATAAGTGTCAAATTCTCATTATTAAATCTAATAAAAAATTATTTTAATACTTTCAAACCATTTTTGACATGAATCCTTTTTTGCCATACTTGTAAAAAAACTAGTAGGAGCTCTCATGTCATAATGTTTTTGTGTATTTAAATTTGTGGGAAATATCACACAAACAAAACATGATAAAAAAATAAATATACATATAGGTTTTAATACATCTTCAATTGATTACATAGGTGGGACTTTGCTACAAGCAAATCACTTCCTAAATACATGAAGATATGCCTTTCAGAATTATTCAACACAGTGAATAACTTAGCATGCAAAATCATGGAAGATAAGGGGTTGGATATTCTCCCATATCTTAAAAGAGCGGTAAAGTTGTTAAAACTCATAAATAAATTCAAAATTCTTTTTCTTGTGAGAATGTTACCGAAAGTTCTTGAAATTTATTATTATATTTCAGTGGCTAGATTTATGCAAAGCATACATGGTGGAGGCAACATGGTATTACATTGGATATTGCCCTACATTTGATGAATATTTAGATAATGCGTGGATTTCAGTTGCAGCCCCTTTAACCTCGGTTATGGCACTTTGTCTGAGTGAGAACTTAACAAATTTATCACTCGAAAGCTTCGACTTCTATCCAAGCATCATCCGCCAATCATCTATTATTTTTCGGCTTTGCAATGATTTAGGAACTTCAAAGGTAAGTAAATATTGATATATATAATTTCATTTGAAGCTAATTTTACCACACATGTTATCTCTTAATACAATTGAACTATCACTAAAAATATAATTTCATTTAAAAAATAAATGTCGCAACCAGACTGTTAACCATTCATAAATACAATACAACTACATCATTTAACTGATAGTTTAGTTGTATTTTCTAACATTGTTGCTATATTTTCTTTTAAATTTTATTATAATATCAAAAGTTTAGTTGTAATGTGGGATAACATGTTATACATGAAATTAATGTCATACATTTAATGAAATTAGTCTCATTCTAATACAGAATGCTTTCTTCCAATTAAACATTTATCTAATGATGATGAAAAATAAACATATTTTTCATGAATGTAGGGTGAGCTCCGAAGGGGAGATGTTTCAAAATCCATCCAATGTTATATGAAAGAGAAGCATGTTTCAGAATCAGAAGCACAAAAGTGTATAAGGACTATTATAGATAAATGCTGGAAAGATTTGAATAATGAATGGATGGAAGCATCGAAATATGAAGAAACATTCAAAATGGTTGTGATAAATTTGCCACGAGTTGCTCACCTTTTTTATCTACAGTCAAATGATGAGAATGTTGGTGAGCTTAACTTAGAGAATATCAAAGGCAATGTTATCTCACTTTTCCTTGAACCCCTTACTTTGAAAGAAGGATGATTAATGGTCAATTTTATTGGTTTGTAAATGGAAATAGAACTACAATTGGTAAATGTTATAAAATTTTTACATAATATTTGAATTTTGTTTTAGCTTGATTGATTGGGTCTCTTATGTAGTAAAAATAAATATCAAAATACTTTCTTCTTTCATGATGCAATAGATTCATTGTGAATACAATTGCCAATTGATTACCTACATAAACTTATATAGGTCCATTTTGAGAAAACTCAATTTTTTTTATATGATATTTCATGGCACATGCATGAAGATGCTACAATATAGAGAGGAAAACAACTTGTTGCTTTTTTTAACACATATATTTTTTCTATCATCTTAATCTCCAAATCAATCACCGTTTAAGTGAAAAAAGAAAGTATAATAATCTATTATTTAATATACCTTTGATATAAAAAATTAATGACACATTTTATTAACTTTAAATGTGTCTCAAAAAGCTTTTCTATATAGCGGCGTGCAATTTCAATACCATACTATATATATAGCGGCATGAATGTTAAACAAACTATCTTTCTGCCTTAGCAAATGCTTTGAGATGCAACAAAAAACATTCTATCAGATTTGTGCAAATCATAACTTTAAAATTAGATTTTGAACCTCCATTCAATTTTATCAAAAATATTTAAAAGAAATAGTTGAGAATCAAACAAAAACTCCAATAGCTACAAACTTTTTTGTCTAATGGGTTGCCTCATTGCTACATTTCCATGGTTATAAATATCACTCTGTTATGTGAACATCTAGGCCACGTAAGATTTTGATCCAAAAAGCTAATTTGAATCTTGAAAGACGTGATCTAGCAAGGGATGGTAATCAGCAATTATCTCCCCTCTTGTAAACTATAGTGTTAACATTCATGACATCATATCGTCTTCAATCACGACGCCATGCACCGATTTTGTGTAATTTATTTTGCCTATATTTTGACAATTCATATAGTTCTCTTAGGCTTCGTGTGGGACGGCTTCTTAAAGCTACCTTCTAGCATGAAAAATTAAAATTTTTATACTGGAAAACTGCTTTAAGAAGCAGTAATACAACCATCCCGAATGAAGCCTTAGTCTTCGCAAATTATTTGCAATGTTAAATTGCTCTTGATGGGGCATTGTGTGTAAGGTTTCATTTGGCAGAGCTTCCTTACTATTTTTTAAAATAATTTTTAATACGAAATTTAAAATTTTTATACTAAAAATTTATTTTGATAAATAGTAAGAAAGTCTCAAATGAAGCCTAAAACTCATGCAATTCACATTCCATTTGTAAATATCATAGTAATAAATAATCTTATTTAAAAATTGTCCATTTATAAAGTGTGCGTAAATAATCTTTAGTTTCATACTTTCATTAATAAAAATGAGCATTCTGTGAGTTATGTCTCATGGAGGATGCTTTAGAATTTAAATAATCTGTAATTTCGAAGGGACACGGCTTTGCAGCTGGCCACATTTAAGAGCTAATTGATTAAGGAGTTTTAAGTGTATTATATTTAGATTATTAAACATTTGTGGTCAAATATGTAGCTCATAGGTATAAAACATTTTGAAATAGACCGTGCATGCGACATTCATGTTTTATTTTTACTCACGTCATTGGTTATTAACGGTCTAATCCACACCGTTGATGCCATGGTCTTCTCTGTGCATCTCTTCTCTAGATGTATTAGGTGATACAGTAAACTTGAGAGGTGAAGCATTTCAGACATAAATACATTCGTTTCTATTCCCTCCTTTCTCTACTTTGTTGTATAACACATTTTGCAGGTGATACGTCATGGAATAAAATAGGAGTTGAAGTTCTACATGATATCAGAGCACTGCTTGTGCACAACAAGTGAAATTAGAAGTTTTCTCTTCCATTCTTAGCGGTTCCATTAAGTATATGATGGACCTTTCTCCTGCTTTTTCCATCTCATTACAAGCCACACAAGTCGTTAAGATGTTAGATACTCCTATTCCATCACAAATGAAGTTTTTGATGAATAATGTGACGTCAGTTCTTAACATACAACTTACTGCAGACAATAATCAATTGTGGAAATCCCAGATTCTAAAACTTTTTACTACCAATGGGTTTTATGGTTACCTCGAAGGATCTAGACACAAACCTTCTAAAATTTTTTTGATTACCTCTGATGATATTCAGTAGAATCTTGAGTATTATACTTGGTTAATTGTAGATCAAAATCTAGTCGTCATCTTATATTCCACGATTTCACATAAATTTCTTCCATATGTTTTGAATCTTTAACTCCTATTTGGAGATTTGGCAAATGATGGGGGTGTGAAGGTATGGTGGATTTCAAAACAACAACATCAAGCATTTGTCCCACTACATGTGGTTAGCTACATGATCCTTTTTCTCTATTGTGTCATGTTAAATGTCAAATTCTCTTTTAAATCTAATAAAGAAATATCATTTCTAATTGTTTCTAACCAAAGTCTTTTTAGGTTTACTTCTACCTTTCTTAATATAAGTCAAATGTAACACCTCTACTTTCCTAACTGGGTCATCAGAAGGCCATTGTTTTATGTGACCAAACCATCTAAGGCGACTCTCTGTAATATTATCTTCCACTGGAGCTACTCTAACCTTTTCAGGTATATGCTCATTTCATATCTTGTCTCTAAGCGTAAATCCACTCATCCACCTGAGCATTCTCAACTCTGTAACACTTAGCTTAGTATTATGTTTCTCTTTTAATGGCCAACATTCTGCACCATAAAGCATTACAAGTCTCACCACCATCTTATAGAATTTTTCTTAAAGTTTGAGGGAAACCTTTTATCACACAACATGTCTGATACATTGCTCCACTTCAACCATCCAACTTGAATTCTACTAATAATATCCTCATCTATTTCACCATCACTCTGAATAATAGATCCATGATATCTAAAATGTGCACTCTTATTAATGGCTTGATCGCCCAAAGTCATAAACCCCCACTAGGTCTATTACTATTAAAATTACACTCCATAAGTTCAGTTTTAGATCTACTCAAACAAAAATTTTAGATTATAAGGTTGACTTTTATAATTCACGTTTACTTTCAACTCCCTCACTAGTCTTATCAACAAGAAGATTATCATCAGCAAAAAGCATACACCAAGGTACATCCTCTTGCAATGACTAAAACAGAAGGATATGGGGTTAAGGCTGATCCTTGATGTAATCCAACCAAAATAGGAAAATACTTGGTCAAACCACCTTGTGTTTGAGCATAAGCAATAGCTCCCACATACATATCTTTAATGATTTGAATATAAGTAATATTAATTCCTTTCTTTTCAAGAACTCTTCATAGCACTTCTCTTGGAACTTTATCTTATTCTTTCTCTAAATCAATAAATATCATATGTATATCATCTTTATTCTATCCATTTTTCTCAGTCAAACCTCTCAATAAATGTATGGCTTCCATAATAGACCAACCCAGCATTATCCAAATTGATTTTGACAAACATTAGTATCACGCCGCAACCTACGCTCCATAACTTGCTCCCATAGTTTTAAAGTATGACACATTAAATTAATTCCTCTATAATTCATACAAACTTGTGCATCACCTTTATTCTTAAAAATAGGAATCAACACACTCATTCTCCACTCATATGTCATCTTTTTAGTCTTCAAAATAGTATTAAAAAAGTTTAGTAAGCCAAGAAATCCCTTCATCTCCTAATTATTTTCACACATCAATTGGAATATCATCATATCCAATAGCTTTTCTTCTTTTAATTCTTATAAAACCTCTCTAACTTTGGTTTTACTAATATGTTGATAAAAATAAAAATCTTTATTTTCATTTAGGGTTCTAAGGTCACTAAAGTCAATTGTATTCTCACAATCTTCATAAAATTTTTTAACAAAATATCTCTCATCCACCTATGTTGAATATCATCTTCTAAGAAACGTACTTTTTGATCTTCATCCTTAATACACCACACTTTAACTAAATCCTTACTACTCCTATCTTTTTATTTGACTAGCTTATACGTATATTTTTCTCTCTCCTTAGTATTTAATCTATTATATAAATCATCAAAAGCAAAGATCTATGCATTGCATATTGCTTTCTTAGATTCCTTATTTGCCTCTTTATATCCTTCCCAATTATCAAATTTTTTACAACTAAACATAATTTTATAATAATTCTTTTTTTTTAATCTTTTCTTACAATTTGAATTTTACCACCAACTATTTTTATTATTATAAATTTTTCCATTTGTTACTCCAAGCACATCTTTTGCAATATTCTTAATATCACTAACCACTATTTCCTATATAACATTAGCATTCTGAGACCCAGATAAAATCTTAAGATCTAAACTCTTACTCTCAAAATTTTTTTGTTAATATTTTTTTAAATACCCCCATCTAATCCTAGAATACCGCTTTACGGTGGAATTTGAATTATAAAAATAAATACTTAAGGCTCTATCTTCCCTAAATAATGCCTAGATTTTATTTGATATAAATTAATAAATTACACTTAATATACGTAATTATATGTGCCGAATAAAGTAATAAAATGATAGAGCATAGTATTGAACCCACGAGAAAGTATATTTTTAGGCATCATCTACGACTATTTACTCTAACTGTAAAAATATCTTACTTAAATATAATATTTTGTTATGGGGATTCAATTGCTGAATAAAAAATAGTTAATCAATTGATATAATATTTAAATAAAATATATTGGATTGACGAATATAAATTATATATCTTTCATAATAAAATCCTTAATTGTGATGTGATTCAAAGTATATGCATCCTTAGATGTCTGTCAAGCTTGTAGGGGTAAAAGTAATATATGCTAACCTCCTACAGTTATATCATCTCCTTAAAAATCTAGCATATTTTACATCTTATGTCTAGGTATGCAAATATACTATTTTAATATTCATGTTTGTTCTTAAATTCTCTCGTTAAAGCTATACATCACACTAGATTTTAACTATATATATTACCACTATATGTATTAAATAAATAATGAGATAATATTAAAAATATCTTTTAACTTTAGAGTATAAGAATTTTCGTTAGTACTTAATATGTTCTCTACATCATCAATCCAAAATTAAGGAATTAGCCAGCTATGAAAGAAAAGATAAACAAACTTATTTTCATTGAAATCATAGAAGAATCAAAATACAAGAGAATGATATCACCATGAATATTCAATGTACTACACTCCTTCCTTCATGTATGGAGTTTCCCAAACAAACGCAAACTAAACACTCTAATGATTGTATCAAGTACTTCCCTATAAGAGATTTAGAGAAGTAATCTAAAATATATTAAAAGTATATAAGTGACTGAACTCCCATACAAATATAACAATGACTATTTATAACAAAACACAAAGTCGGTAACTAATGCTCCAATGATTAAAAGTTCGGCGTCGTTTCCCTAGCAAATGAACTAACATCGCTATGCCATTGTTTTGGCCTCATTACAGTGCTTGTTGATGTGGATCAGTTACTTAGTGAACAATTATGTCATTTCACTAACAGGTCGTGTCCTTGGGAAGTTACACCTACTATGCTACAGCGTTGCTGACTTTCAAAAGCTACAACGCTACAAGGGAAATTTTTGCGCCGAGGTGTTATAGATTGTGATGATGAGTATTGGAAGATAGAGAGAATGGTACTGTAAAGCTGACCATTTTGACACTATGGTGTTGTCCAACAGATAAGTTGGCACCGCAATGTTAATGTTGTGGCGCTCCGGTGCTGCAAGGTTGATTTGTCCGATGGCTTGATGCTAGATAAGGTTTAGAATTTTGTGCCCTTTTTATTTTTTTTTATACAACACAACTAAAATAATATATTTTCTCTGTAAATATAACACATAAAACAATACATTATTTGCACTTATCGATTTCTCTCAAGCTTAAACTCTTGCTTGTCCCCCATCAAATAAGAATAATATTATAATTTTGATTAAATGATTAACCAAAGTAAAAATTGACAATTTAAATTTAGTAAAATATAGGATAATACATCATGGTCTAGAAGTAGAATGAACAAGATTATAATTCTAGTTTAAAAAATACTAATAATTACACTAATAATCATCTTTGTTATTGCTTAATTTGAATTCATAAACTATATATTTAATAGTTAATTATGAATTTATAGTGAATAATATAGTTTAATGATTAAATATATTAATAGTCAAATCAAAATTTTAATTAGTACGTTCACTATCATTTGTACTAGTTTTCTTATTTTATTTTATTTATATGAATTTAAGTATAAGATTGTAATCAGATTCTAAGCTTTTGACTGATATCAATTTTTTAATGTATTTATCTTATCTTTTTCTTTTATTTTAGAACTATTTTCACAGTTTCTTCTATTTTTTTTCTTTTTTAATATGGAGTATATAGTTAATAATTTTGAATATCAGTTTTTGCTTTGAACTCTTTTACAATCTTAATGAATTTAATATAAGGATTTAATAAGATTATCAATTCTAAATCTGGATTGCTTATGATTTCCAATTTTAAATTTGAAATATTTAATATTTAATTGTAATTATTCATTTTTATTTTAAAATTACTTAAATATTGATATAACGTATGATATAAAATTAAAGCAATAGCTTAAATGGTTTAAGTAAGTTAATTATTAGTTTATTCACTATATGAAGTTTAAATAGTATTCACTGAACTATAATATATAGGCTTTTATTATTATCCTAATTTTATAAAAATTTTAATTATCATTTTTACTAAAAATAATTAAATAATTATAATACAAAAATTATTGTGAGCATGAGAAAATTTTAATAAAATGTAAATAAAAGAAATACAATTAATTAACACTATACATGCTTTCATACAAATGATAAAAATATAACAAAATATAACATAACATATCATAGGATACAAGATAGCTATTGCACTATGCCCCATGCATATCTTATCAAGTGGGTTTCCTCTCATAAACACTAAGTTTTAAATCTTCAGCCAGACTATCCATTATAACATATCAAAGTAAAATAAACATGCTACCCAATAAAAGTAGTCTCCAAACTCACTCTCCCTCTCTAAAGCAAAGTAAAAAAAATAACCACTAACCCTTTGAATCAGGGTCTTCTTCCTCTTCCTTGTCATTATCCTAATGAACTTTCTCTCTAGACTGCTACACAAATGGTCTATAAGTAGGTTCAAGGGGAAACTCGAGCTACTCAGGATGCTCCAAAAAAGGGCTACTCTTAAACATGCCAACAAGTGTTTCATTAAAATATGATGTATAGCTAAAATATTGCTCCTATTGGTCCATGCTATGAGCTATCCTCATTTCCATTTTCAATCCCTAATTTCTTTACAATAGTGAGTCACCACTTCTATTTTTCCCCTTAAATCAGCCACCTGATCTCCTAATATTTTTAGAGCTCTAGCACTCATACTACTACTGGTGCTACATTGTCTACTGGGTAATCTAAGCTCACTGAAATCACATTCCTCCTCATCCTTTCCTATTTGCTTAAAGCTCACAATATTTCTCTTTTTGATAGCATGAATAGGATATAACTATTCTTCATTTTGATCCCCCCTAACACTGCTGCTACACACAAAGCGTAAACAAGAGAAGGATGCCCTAACCCAACATATGTGGTACCCCTAATGATATACATAAGAGATGAATATATTAGTTTCCCTATATCAATATAATACCCCATTTGAATTAAGTAATTCAAAAGGACACGGTCACAAGTAACTTCACTAGTATTACAACTAGGCAACAATCGGGCAGAAAGGAAATAATGCTATGCTTTAGAGGTTTGGGTCATAAAAGAAGTAGGAAAATTGATAATTCTATTATCATTTTTCTTCCAACATGCTCCATTATTAGGTCCATACATGACATTCAATTAAGATGTCATCAGGATTTATATGTGTATTAATGAAGACATTGTCCTCATCAAATTCAAAGTATCTAAGTCAGTAAACCTTATTAAAAGCTATAGAATCAAAGGAAACCCACTTACCCCAAATTTATTACCTATTATCCATGGCCTCTTTTCCATTTTAAAAAAAATCATGAATAACATTAATTATATAAGCATAGGGTTCTTCACAAAATCTTTCCTAACTTCTACTTGCTATGATTTGCACGATGGGTGGAATAGAAATCTCAAAACCTATTTCTAGAATTAGTTGTTTGTTTACCACTGAATTCTTAAATCTAGATTTAACATCCGCACAGATAAATTTTCTCTTATCAAAAGAGGAAGATCTCTTCTTACCAAACATCTTAAGGGCTATTATTTCTAGAGAAGATTTCAAAGAAAAAAAAGAAGAGTTTGAAGGAAATATAAGGTGTTGAATGAAATGGAAAATGTTCCCATATTATAACGCGATGAAATGTTGTGGCGTTATAAGATATGGTGTTGCGGAGCTCAATGCAAAAACAAAAATGACAAAATGGTTATCTGGCAAGCGCTGCAGTGGTTCAGGCCATGTGGTACAGCAGTCTTGATTTTTGGAAATTAGAGTTTAACTTTAGGAAGGGCCACCGCTGCGGCGTTTGACACATGTTAATAACACGATGCTTAAGTTAGTGAACCGTTGTGTCACTATAAGTGAAATAATTATGATGTTTGGTGATGCGGTGCTCGCTAATTATACCACAACTCTCACCTAACTTTAATAATTCAAGTTATAACTGTATAATGTATTTTTGACTTTTGGCTAGGGTCACTTTTTAACTTAAATGATCGCGACACTAAAAAAAATAAGCACTGTGATGCTAAATATTATATAAAGATAACTAAACGCACTAATATTTAGACTATAACTTTAATTATTTTCACAAAAAAGAAAGCAAAATAATTTTAGACAACAACTAATGCAATAATGATTATGCAATCACAACAACACATAAAATAAAGAATATAAATAAGTCTAATTATGCAATTAATTCAATAATATTATTAAAATTTTATAAAAAGTTAAATACATCCTGAGTAAAATTTCAACTATATGATATCCCATATATTGAAAGGTGAAGCAAAATAATAAAACTATAATTAAAGCAAAATAATGAAACAATCTTAACGACGTAATAAGCTTATGCAAAAGAGGTTCTTAGTATATTTAGAATGAGAATTATCAACAACTAATCTAAAAGTGGTTCATAGAATTTGGCATGAATTATTGAAGAAGGATGAAGGATGGTGAAGCCAACTAATATCATAATTGGAAGTTTTAGATATTTAACCATATACATCATGAAAGAAGTAAATATTTTGATATTTATTTTCACTACATAAGAGACCCAATCAAGCTAATATATATATATATATATATAGTATAATTTTAGTTCAATTTCCATTTACAGCCAATAACAAATACAATTGTCCATTAATCATCCTTCTTTCAATGTAATGGGTTTAAAGAAAAGCGAGATGACATAGTCATTCATTTTCTCCAAGTTAAGCTCAACAACATTCTCGTCGTTTGATTGTAGATAAAAAAGGTGGGCAACTCGTGGCAAGTTTATTGCAACCATTTTGAATGTTTCTTCATATCTTGAAGCTTTTATCCATTCTCTATTTAATTCTTTCCAGCATTTATTTATAATACTCTTCATGCACTTTTGTGCCTCTAATTCTGAAACATGCTTCTCTTTCATATAACATTGGAGGGATTTTGAAACATCTCCCCTGCGGAGCTCACCCTACATGCATGCAAAAATATGTTTATCTTTCATCATAAGTTGATAAATGTTTAATTGGAAGAAAATATAATGTTCAAATATCCTAATACATTTTGTATTAGAATGAAACTAATTTCATTACATGTGACATTGATTTCATGTATAACATTTTACCCTCATAACAACTAAATTATTTAATGATATAGTAAAATTTAAAAGAAAATACGGCCACAATGTTAGATAACACTACTAAACTATCAGATAAATTATATAGTTATATTGTATTTTTGAATGAATAATATTATGGCCGCGGCATTTATCTTTTAAATGAAATTATATTATGTGATAGTTTAGTTGTATTGAGGGATGACAACATATGTATTAAAATTAGCTTCAAAGGAAACAAAATGTATCCAAATATTCTAATAGGACTTTTTTTTCATTTTGATATTTAGTTACCTTTGATGTTCCTAAATCATTGTAAAGCCGAAAAATAATAGATGATTGGCGGATGATGCTTGGATAGAAGTCAAAGCCTTCGAGTGATAAATTTGTTAAGTTCTCACTCAGACAAAGTGTCATAACTGAACCTAAAGGGGCTGCAACTGAAATCCATGCATTATCTAAATATTCTGCAAATGTAGGGCAATATCCATTGTAATACCATCTTACCTCCACCATATATGCTTTGCATAAATCTAACCACTGAAACAAAATAATAAATTTCAAGCACTTTAGATAACATTCTCACAAGAAAAAGATTTTTCAATTAATTTAAGAGTTTTAACAACTTTACCGCTCTTTTAAGATATGGGAGAATATTCAACCCCTTCTCTTCCATAATTTTGCATGCTAAGCTATTCATTGTGTTGAATAATTCTGAAAGGCATATCTTCATGTATTCAGGAAGTGATTTGCTTGTAGAAAAGTCCCACCTATGTAGTCAATTCAAGATGTATTAAAACCAATGTGTATATTTATTTTTTTATCATGTTTTGTTTGTGTGATATTTCTTCATTTATGCAAGCAAATCCAAAAAAAAAATGTCATGAGAGCTCGTTCTGGTTCCTTTTTTTTTTTTTTCTTACAAGTTGGCAAAGAAGGATTCATGTCATGACTTGATTTGAAAGTATTTTTATTATATTTAAATGAGAATTTGACTCGTAATAGGACATAATGGAGAAAAATGATTATGTAGTGCGGAATAAATGCTTGTTATTGTTATTGTTGTTGTTGTTGCACTTATGACATAAAGTAGATCAATAAATTAAATAAAACATAGATTATTCAGTAAACAATGAACATATAAAAATTGCTTGCAATTTAGACTTTTTTTTATTATTTACCTCTCAATAGCATCAGTAAAGAGTTGTAGCTCGTCCAATGAGCCGTATATGTCATAGATATCATCTACTACATTTATGAAGCATATCGCTTTAGCAAATTCTTTTCTGCATGTTGAAAAACGAGGTTCCATAGCCACACCTACTGCTAAGAAGTAACTCTCCACAGGCCATTCCCTTGCAAAACTTAACTCACCACCAGCTAGATTACTTATTTTTGTCCACCACCTAAAACATTATAACAGTATATAAATATATGCTTATGAATTATTTATCCTCATTCAGTCAAACAAAAATGTAATATTTTTATGATCTCTAACAATATGTACCTTGTAATTTCCTTGAGCTCTTTGTTGTAGATGTTTTGGGTCATGTTGAAGTCCAATTGAGCAAATTCAAGCAAGATTGGGTCCACATCAAGCTCTTTCATGTTGCGAGCATGCTCGATGAACATTGGAGCCTGAAGCTTCTGAATTCTATGGTGCAAAGGAAGCTCCAAAGCTAGGGCTATGTGTTTTGCAAGCGCTGGATTTGTTAAAGAATTTGACCTCATACAATCATTTAGATGCTTCAGAGCAAATTCCTTTGCTTCATCTATTTCATCTTCTCCATCCATAGAAAGAAATGAAGCTTCATAGAGACTTAACAATCCTTTGATATCATGAAAAACACAAGGCTTGAAGCACCCCTTCTCATCTTTGTAGCTTTTAACCAATAAATCTATATAGAAGTACAAATTTTAAGCATAGTTAATTTGTTAGTATTTTGAAGAAAATTAATTAAATTAAAATTATTTACATGACAATTAAACCATATATTGATCAAATAATTAAGGCCATTTTTTATAGTTTATATAGATTTGAGCCATATATCACAATCATCTTTAAAAATAAAAAATGTTAAAAAAAAAAAAATCTAAAAGACATAACATGAGGTTCTAAAACAACCATATAACCCCGCACGTATAATGTGCAGGAAACAAAAACAATGACGTTTTGCTTCTTGAGAACTTATCTCACCTGACTAAATGATTACGTGAAAACATGAAGAATGAGTGAATCACATGATATTATAAATATGTAGGATCAGTGCAAAAAGAATGTTGGAGAATTTTTTTTATCACTTAAAGTAAAATGAATGTAATATAAAATTAAATGATGGTGATAATTTGCAGCGGTCAGTTGCGTCGATAGCTAACAGTAGCGGCTAGGGGTGTAATCAAGTTGAGTTGAGTGTGTGCCTAATCGAGCTAAACTTGTTTAATTCTTGTTGAGATCGAACTTGTTTACTGAGTTCGAGCTCAGCTTACTTGAAAACTATTAGGCTCGTGGTTCGATAAACTTGACTCGTTAGCTCTTTAATGATTCGAGTTTAAGCCAATTCATGAGAAAACTTGTCTCACTTACACCCCTAGCGGCAGCGAAAGCGGAGGTGGTCGTAGGCAGATGGTGGTGGCCTTCAGCGAGCGGGGATGGCAGCGATAGTAGTGATGGCTACGACAACCAACATATAATGGTGGGTGGCGGGAGGCAGTGTTAACGCAACAGCTTATGATAAAAAAAGAATTTGATAAGAAAATAGATGAGTTTACAATACATAACAAATGAACTAAGGATTAAAAAAAAATCATTGAAATTTTACATTGTATTCCTTGTTCAGCAAATGAAACACAAAATTTAAAATTCTCCATTTTCAAAATATTTTATATTTCTTTTTAATCAAATCAAATAGCTAATTGAATACCTTTGGAGACCTCAAAGCCACGCTCCCTTGAAAGCCTAAAATACAAGGCCTTGAAATTAACATCCTCAGTGAATTCCATTCTTAACTTCTCTTCTGAATATTTCATCAAATTTAACAAATATTTGATTTCATCTTCAAAATGATAAGCCACCCCAAGCTTTTGCAATGAATCAAAAAGCTTCAGCTGATCAGCAAAACTCTTCTCCTTAATAAGACGCTTCACATCCTCCTTCAGCTTCTCTCTTCTCTTTTCATGCACATCTCCCTGCGTAGAAACATTTGATATATAATAAAAACAAGAAGAAAAAGAGATCTGAAGAATATTAATGTATATTACAGTGAAAGTAGTAGTATTCAGAGTCTGTATTTGACTGTCATTCCATGAGCTCGGCTGATAATTTGTTGTTCTTCGAAAGGAAGTGGAAGAGTTCGAAGCAACAGAGTAACACTTCTTGCGAAGGCGAAGGTATGGGGTTGATGAGAAATACTGAGCGCTGTGCTGTATCTTTAATGGCAGGAAGAAGCCATAATTAGGTAAAAAATCAGTAGAAAGATAAAGATTTGAGAGAGTAGGGAGGCAATACTTCATTCTTCTTATTAAAGAATACAGAAGGGGAAATGAAGAAGGAAAGCTGGAAAAGGCCTAATGAAGCAATATCTCTGCTCTGAACGTAGTTGTTTCAATCATAATTTATAACCCACTTGTTTGTAGCTCTGTTTTATTTTATTAAGAAAATTTGGGATTTGACTTACCTTCCAAAAGTTGCTTTCACCCAACTCGATTAATATGTTATTTCGTGAATGTGAAAAGCATTTTACATGCATGGCCGTCAGAATGAGACTAATTTTTCATTTTAGTGCTTGATTAGTTTAAGAAGACTTGGAAAAAACCTTTTTGTATTGACTTTTATTTATTTCTCAATAATTCAATAATATTTAGTGATTTTAATTTTATTTCATTTATATTTTAATTTTTATCAATTACTACTGTTACTTGCTAAAAAATTTGTGTCGGTAGAATTGTTGTTTAATATCCTGTCTATTGAAAAAAAAAATCCAAGAAGACTTAGCCTAATTATAATAATCCATTATATAATATAAGATATAAGAATCTTCCCTTCGTCATAGTTTGGAAAATATGAGATTATTTATGATTGAGAATAACTATCGGAGTTTCTTTGTAGGAATTATAGAAACTTAATGTTCATAAAAAGATGATTAAAAAAGCCTAACAATATGTCTATATGTTGAAAAAAGCTTGGCGGTGGTGATGATAATTGTTAGTGGTGTTAGTTGGCTATGACACAGTTAGGAAGTAGAAGAGAATTATTTAATTTTCTCAACTATTGAACCTCCATAGGCACTATTTATAAGCTTTTTGAGATGAACATTTTGGTTAATTTGGCCATAAGTCAAGGCATTTCATCGTACAGTCCATATTGATCTTGTTGACCGTGGATTGTTTATCAAATATTTGAATGTCTTAATCATGTTCAAATCAAGTGATCTTGTGCTTGTTAGATTTGGCTCGTTAGTTGCTCGAGTTGAATATGAGCATGCTTTGATTGGAGGTTGTTCGATCAATTAATTTATATTAAAAAGTTTCCAAACATAACTTAAGAGCTTGATTTGAGCTCATTTTGAATTGGATTGAATCATTTTGTAGCATCGGTAGATTCGTTTCATCAACACTTCACTTCGAATATAAGTTTGTTAAACTCAAAGTTTGGATGATCAAAAACTTCATTTTGAAGGTTTTCAATTCAAATATATATCGAGATTTGTGCCGATTGTATGAATTTTTTATGGTATCCTTTCATCATCCTATTTTTTGCATTAATATGAGATACAATAATATATCTTCCCTTCTTCACATTTGCTGAAGATAGGATTATTTAGAATTAAGAACAATTGCCAAGTTTTCTTGTAGGAATTACAAAAATTTGATATCTATAAGAGGATGATTAAAATTCAATAACTGAGTTAAATATTGATAGAAGTCAGACAATGCTGGCGGCGATTGCTGGCAGCAGTCAGCGACGATGATAGCTTGGAAAATACAAGAGAATTCTTTATTTCTCTTAGCTCTTGAATCTCCCTCCTTTTTTTTATTTCTCTTAGCTCTTCAATTATATGTGGTGAATTAGATGACTTCATTATTAAATTTTATATTAAAATAAATTTTGTAAATAATTTAATTAAATATTTATTATTAGTTGTCACTTTTTAAACTATTATATAAATCTATATGGATGAATATAATTATGCCTAAAATTTGATTGTTTAAAGAGATTATAATATCAATTATTTTGACAATAGTATTCAATGACTAACAAAGCGCATAAAAGTCAAGGAACATGTCTTTAAAAATATTCACGTTCCATTAACAAATATCAAAAGACTATATTATCTTATTTAAATTTAAACATTTATAAAGCTTTCATACTAACGACCTCCATCAACTACCAAATATGATATTTCAACCTTAGTTGCCCGACTATGATAAATCTAACCTTCGTCGATAGTCAACCATCATCGCTCAATTATGATTCTTCAAATCTCCGTTGGTCGACGACTACAATCCTCCAACCATCATCACCCAACTATCATCGTTCGGATCACTGTCGCTCGATGAAGGTCATCTTACCATCATTTGAGATAATTATTTTATATCTTTATAGCCAAATCGAGCAACTTTATGAAATGAATACAACGTGCCAAAGTTCAGTCAATTTAGGGATAATTAAGCCACTTTATTACCGAGTAAATGTTTCCATGATCCAAGAAATCAATATGGACTGTATCATAGAGCATTTAAGATTCCAGCTAAATATATCAAAATGGCCCTCTTAAAAAGCTTATAAAAATAGAGAGAGAGAGCCTCATTCGCTACATAGAGGGTGTTTAAGAGTTAAGAGAGAAAGAGAGCTCCTTTGCATTTTCTAGCTCTCGTCACCCCCGATAGCCACCACCAGTTGCCTCTACCGATGACGATCATCAACTCTAGCCGACAACCTCCACCAACAATCATCGCCATCGTCTATAGACTTCTGCCAAGATTTAATCGTACTATCATGCTTCAATTCCCTGCTTTTGGACACCAGATTTTCTAAATTCCATACAATAGAGAAATCAAACATTTTATTTTCCAATAATCCTCTCTTATTCAACTATAAGAAAGGAAAGATTATTGTGTCTCATGATATATAGTATATTTTTCAACTTGGTCATTTATCGTTATTTTTTACCTTTTTAGAGTTTTCCATTTGAATTTTTTTTTATCTTAGGTAACTTTTATTTATGTGTGCAGAATTTTTGTCTAAAATTAAGACATAAAATACCAACTTTACCCAAGCAAAATTCCTAACACGCAAGAAAATTAATTAATTTCATTAATTCTAATTACTTTGATTATATAACAACGATAAAATATAATTATCATTATTTAAGCTTAGTTAATATTTAATTAGTTTAATAAAAAGTTAAGAAATAATTACTTTTTCTTATTTGTTAAATTAATTGTGTTCTGTTAGGTGACCGACCAAATTGCATTGCGTTCTATTAGATGACATCGCCATTCTTTTTTCTCGGAGTAGGACAAGAGCCCAAATTGCATTGCGTTCTATTATATATAGGAGTGTCAATTTCGGGTCACGGGACGGGTTCGGGTCGAACCCGAAATTGACTCGGGTTCAAACAGGTCATAAATTTGAACCCGGACCGGACCCGGGTAGGTAAACGGGTCGGAAATTCGAACCCGGACCCGACCCGGCAGGTTGCCGGGTTGACCCGACTCGGCAACCAGGAAGGAGAATAGCGCGGACCCGGGCGCGGTCGAGAGCGGACGATGCTCGGGCTGGCAAGCGCGGCGAGTTCGCGGGCGCACTGGAGCTGGAGCGTGGGCGGGTGCGCCGGGCAGGTGCGCTGGGACGCCGGGACGGGGGAGGGTGTGCTTAGGGGTGCGCACCAGGTGCGCTGCAGCGCGGCCACTGCGTTGGCACAGACTCATGCGCGGGCAACTGCGCGGGGCAGCCTCGAGCTGGCGGCTGACTGCGGGCAAGTCCACGGGCAGCGCGGGAAAATTCAAATTAAACGTGTTTTTGGGTTGACCCGGCAACCCGAACCTAACCCATTTTTTCAAACGGGTTGAATATGTGAACCCGAACCCGACCCGTTTTTCAAACGGGTCGGGTCCAACCGGATTTTCGGGTCGGATTTCATGTCATGTCAAATATTGACACCCCTATATATATATATATATATATATATATATATATATATATATTATATATATATATATATATATGCCAAAATTTTGATTGTTTCCAGAGATTTTAATATCAATTATTTCGACAAAAGCATTCAATAACAACAACATGTTTAAAAATCAAAAGTAGCGCACCTTTAAAATATTCACATTTAATTGACAAAATATCAAAAGACAGATTATCTTATTTAAATTTAACCATTTATAAAACGTGCATACAAACGACCTACATCAATTACCAAATACTATGTTCCAACCTTAGTTGCCCGACTTCGATTCTTCTAACCTTTGTCGATTGTCATTCCATCATCGCTCGATATGATTATTCTAATCTTTGTTGGTCGACAACTACAGTCCTCCTAACGATCATCACCCAACTACCATCCTTCGGATCATTGTTGCCTGATGAAGGCCGTCTGGCCATCATTGACCAAGTACATTCTTCTGACCTCCAACATCTGCCAACGACGATCCTTCCAAACAACATTATCAAACTAAGGTCGTCCGACCACTATCAATTAACTACGATTCTTCGATGACTATCCAACATATAATCTCTTAATTATTGTCACTTGGCTAAACCAATGCTACGGAGTTCATTCCTTGCCATGCTAATCAAGCCATCCTACACATGCATCACTTATATATGATGTCAACATCAACTCTGACTCCCTACTTTAGCATTGTGATTTGTATTGAATTCACCACATAGCTCTTTTGACTTCAACCAAAAATAATTCTATGTTCTTATCAATGCCTTCGCTTGAGGAGTGCATCATTTGCAATCAATAACAAACAATAGTAGAATCACTTAATTCCTATAGTTCTCTTAGCCTTCGCAAATTATTTGCAATGTTAAATTGCTCTTGATGCATGGGGCGTTGTAAGGCTTCATTTGGGACAGTTTCTTCCTATTTCTTAAAATAACTTTCTAATACAAAAATTAAATTTTTTTGTTAAATTTTATTTTAAGAAACAGTAAAAAAACCGTCTCAAATGAAACCTAAAACTCATGCAAAACATTTAAACCATACACATTCTAAAAAGAATTATCCTGCTCATCACCTAAATCAACACCCACCATATCACCTTGAACCACGCCAACCGAATCAATGGCACGAATAATATTAAGACCATCATGGTCATGAGAAATAGAAACATCGGCCACAGTCCCCTCCATGACTGGAGGAGCAGCACCCAGATTTGGAAATAAGATCATGCAACCATCCTTCAAATGACCCAAATTTTTGTAATGAAAGCAATATGATAAAAAATCTTCCATTTCTACCAATTGAATGTAGAGCTGTCAATTCGGGTCAATCCGTCGGGTTCGGGTCAACCCGTCGGGTTCGGGTCGAACCCGACCCGACCCAAATTTAAACGAGTCAACCCGAACCCGACCCATTTTTGCAAACGGGTCAGACCTTCCAACCCGGATCCGACCCAAGCGGGTTATGGGTTGACCCGACACGACCCGCTGACCCGAACAATTCTCATTTTTCTTGTCTTCCGCGAGTTGCCGAGTTAAGCCGACCCGAGTAAACCCGACCCGGCAACCCGATAATTGGTTTAATATATATATATGTATTTAATATATGTATATATATTTATTATTATTATATATTAATATATATATATAATATATATTATATATAATATTTATATTATTATATATTATGTATATATAATATATTATATATATTATTAATATATATATTATTATTTATATATATTTATATATAGTATATAATTTATATTTTATATGTATATATATATAATATATATGATATATTATTGATTATTATTTAAATATAATATATAATATATATTTATTATATATATATATTTGTTGCTCCTTAAAGGGAAAAATGCATACAACCATACATAAGTAACATAATTTAACTGAAAATCTTAAATAATAAATACATAAATTGTTACAAACTTTACAATAAATAGAAGATTACAAGTACTGATTGACAAATTAACTAAAAGTCTAAAAGTGTCCATTTACTAAAATACAATATTACAATTTACAAGTTACAATAAAATACAAGATTATAAAATAGAAATACAATTAACAAATTAACTAAAAGTCTAAAATGTCAAAGTCTTCAAAGCTGGTGCCTGCGTAGTGGCGAGCTCCTTTTTGTCTTACTCTTTCACCCTTTACCTTTACATAATTTAACCTGCAAGGCTGCAAAAGAAATAGTATTTGTAGAAGCATTGTCTAAAGTGATGCTAAAAAGCTTGCTATCAAGTTTCCATTCAACCAAAAATTGATGAAGTTTCTCGAATAATGCAAGTCCATCATGTGGAGATGGCATGAAAGCAAAATTTATCACTTTTTTCTGCAACCTCCAGTTATTATTAACAAAATGTGCACTCAAGCAAATAAGACCATCTGTGTTGATGGAAGTCCATAGATCAGAAGTTAAAGATACTCTACCCTTACAACTACGTAGAAGGGCTTCGATTTGAATTTTTTCCTTATTAAACATCTTCTTGCAATCATTTCTAGCTGTATTTCTAGAAATAAACTGTAAATCATGCCGTAAGTAATAAAGTAATGTTCTTAAACCTTCCCACTCCACACAATGAAATGGTAAATCATGCTTGACTATACATGCAGTAAATAAGCAACGAAATTCTTCATAATCAAATTTATTTGCAATCATCGACATAGAAGTGCTTGAGTTACTTTGAAGTATAAGTTGACCAATATCTTGAGACTTTTTCTTACAGATTTGCAAGTGGCGTCTTAAATTTCCTGTACCATGTTTACTATCACATAAGTATGTTACACCACATTTCTTACATTTGCAATGATGTTTGCCACCATCTTCAAGTGGCAACATTTCAAAATGACCTCATACCGTAGATGTCAACTTCCTCTTCTTTCTATGAACACTTCCCTCAGTTGGAATGGGATTGTTCAACTCATCACTATCACATTCCACTTCATTATCAGCAGGAGCATGCACATGTTCATTATGCTCAGAAGGATTACTCGCAACAATTATATTAGAATCCTGCATCTAAACATAAAATTGTACTCATAACATCAACAACATGCATTAACAACTCATATGATTTCATCAACAACAAGAACATGCATCAACAACTCATCACATTTCATAATATTCCATAATAACAGTTAGCAATTAGCATCAATAACAACCCATTCTCCATATTCCAATATTCCATAATAACATGAATACAGTTAATCAGTTATACAGCATTACAGGCTTACAACAACAGCAAGTCAGCAACCCGACAACTCCAAGAGGCCCAAGCGATCAAGCCGTAATCTCAACAGCAAGTCGTAATCTCAACAGCAAGAAAATTGGAAAACTGTAATAGTAAATCACTAAACGACACTCTAACTAACAGTATAACAGAAGGAAGAAGAAAAACTTATAAGAATAAAATGTGCAGCATACTACAGAAAAGTCGGCCATGGCACATACAGTTATACACTTATACTCATAACTCACAAGGAAGAAGAAGAACTTATAAGAATAAAATGTACAGCATACTCCAGAAAACCCATCAGGCCATCACAGTTTCGCTTTCGCACGACTAATGACTAACGCCGACCAAATTAGGGCAAATTGAAAGAGCAAATCCTCCCAAAAAAAAAAGAAATCTAAAATAGAAATCGAAACAACCGACCACCATCAAACCAACAATTCAAATAATTAAGAGTTATTCAAGATATTACCAACCATTGCAAGTCGCAACTAAGAAATGGAGAAAGGAAGAGGATTCAAGGAAGAATTCCGAAGCCAGATGTTTGAGAACTCAGAAGATCATAAGAGGATATCAAGAAACCTCCATCAGCACCTCCACGATTCGTCGATTCCACGACTCCACCCCAAAGCCAGAGCGTGAGAGCGAGGAGAAAGAGAAACCAATAAATGAAACCCTAGAACCCTCTCGAACAGGCGAACTCGCGGGCTCGGCCAGTCGGCCGCAGATTTTATTAAAACGAGTAAACGACTAAACGAGTGCTTAGCGGGTTATTCGGGTTGACGGGTTGACCCGAACCCGACCCGAATATATAATCAGGTCAAATCCTTAAACCTGTACCTGACCCGTTTCTTTCACGGGTTGACCCGAACCGGATTTTTTGGGTTGAGTTCGGGTCGGGTTAGCGGGTCGTGTCAGGAATTGACAGCTCTAATTAAATGTAACCCTAGACACGAAACCAAGCTAGACTTGAGAAGTGCATCATTTAGTAACATCTAATTCAACAAGTATGCGAGCTATAGAAGGTCTAGAACCATTAGTTATTGCATTACTCATTATCAAAGGTCTACCATACATCAACCACAATCCATGAAGTATGAGGGGGGAGAGAGAAATAATGAGGGCGCAAACTGGGGAAAGCAACCAAAATGGGAATTATAAGAGACTCCACATTTATATCAAAATGGGGAATCCACTTAAAATGCTTCATGAAGCAATTGCTAATGAAGTAGGAGCGGTGAGAAAAAAATCCTATAGTAATCTAAGTAATTAACTAGTAAATTAAAGGGTTCAATACAGTAACCAAAAAATCACCAAAAAGCTTTAGGTTAGAGAAGAATTTGTGAATCATATCAAGAGGCGGGCGTCAGCTCGAAAACTTCCCCACTAAAGCAAACTCGAAGGGCGCTGCAAATGAAAACATTTCCTCCTTCGAAAACAACAATGCAAACAAACCATGATTAAAAGACACTTTGAGCGAAGGAAAGTCTGGTGAAGCCATCTAACTCGACAAAACATCTCTAAAAACCTAGATTTAAGCTTCCCATCCAAAAAAACCTAGGATCTCTTAAGCAATTCACAACCATATGGAAGAAAATTGCAAAAAATCAAATGGGATTACGAGAGGAAATTTACCCAACTGAAGCAGTAGCAAGGAGTGGAAACCCTAGACATCACGTTTTGATATTGATTACCAATATCACTAAATCCACCACAATAAATGTTGCTAGCTATTGACGTCAAATATAAATTCATGAGTGTACATTAAAAAAAACATTTTTCAAACTTTCAATTCACGTCCACCACAATAAAAAATAACATTAATGGCTATTAAATGAATTTTCTTCTTCATAAAATTTTTAGATAAATAATTTTATATCTAGACTTTTAAACTTTATTCACCCACTTAAGTGTGTATGTAATCTCTAGTCACCAAGATACAAAACACAATATCTCATTCTACAAGTTCAATCTTTGAAAATAACTATCACATATTTAGAAATTTATTACATTCTCAACCAAATATAGTATATTTATAAGATTATTTATTACTTTTAGTTCAATTTTCTTGTACAAATAAGTTACCAATACAATTGACTACACCTTGTTTGAATGTAATGGGCTCAATGAGAAGTGAGATGATATTTTCCTTCATTTCCTCTACATTAAGCTCGCCAATATTCCCATCATTTGACTGCAAATACATGAGGTGACCCGCTCGTGGTATGTTTATTGCAACCGTTTTGAATGTTTCATCATATATTGAGCCCTTTATCCATTCTCTATTCAATTCTTTCCAGTTTTTATTTATAATATTCCTTATACACTCCTGTGCCACCAATTCTGAAACATGATTCTCTTTCATGTAACATTGGATGGATTTTGAAACATCTCCTCTTTGGAGCTCACCCTACATGCATAAAAAAAAAAACAGATTTTTCTTCATCATCATTAATAAAACATTTAATAAATTACATGTTTTGTTGATTTTCAATTTGGAAATGCAAATACCTTTGATGTTCCTAAATCATTGTAAAGCCGAAAAATAATAGAAGATTGGCGAACAATGGTCGGATAAAAGTCAAAGCTTTCTAGTGATAATTTTGTCAAATTCTCACTTAGGCAATGTGATATAACTGAGAGTAAAGGGGTTGAAACTGAAATCCATGCATTATCTAAATATTCTTCAAATGTAGGGCAATATCCAGTGTGACACCATCTTGCCTCCACCATGTATGCTTTGCACAAATCTAGCCACTGAAACAAAAAAACATATTTTCAAGCATTTTAGGCGACATTATAACTTCAATATATATATATATATATATATATCAAGTCTATTTAGAAGTTGCAAGAACTTCACCGCTCTTTTAAGATTTGGGAGGACATCCAACCCTTTCTCTTCCTTTATTTTGCTAGCAAGACTATTTACCATGTTAAATAGTCCTTCAAGGCATATTTTCATGTATTCAGGAAGTGATTTGATTGAAGCAAACTCCCACCTATGAAATCAATTGAAGATTTATATGCAACACAATTTTTCCTTTAAGTAAAATAATTAATTGTATGCATCGTCAGTGTTTACCTAAGTTGATTAGTATATTAAATAATAATTATATACTCAATAAATAATAAACATATAGATTAATGCTTGTAATTCCAAAAAAAAAATTTATGTACCTATCAACGGCATTAGTAAAGAGTTGAAGCTCATCCAACAAACCGTAGATGTCATAGATATCGTCTATAACATTTATGAAGCATAATGCTTTTGCAAGTTCTTTTCTGTATGTTGAGAACTGAGGTTCAACAGCCATACCAACAGCTAGAAAGTAGCTCTCCACTGGCCAATCTCTTGCAAAATTTAACTTACTATCGAATACATTACTTACTTCTGCCCACCACCTAAAACAGCATAACAACATATCAATGTGTGCTTCTCAAAATATTAATGTTCTTTGACAATGTAAAGCTTGATTTTTTTCATTTCAAAAAATAATAATATCAAGCTATATATGTTATAGCTATTAAAGTTCTTACACAAGTTGTCATATTAATATTATCAAATATGATTTAAATTTATAGTAGAAATATATAATAGCTAATATTATAACTAATTTTTTTATAACTAATTTTTTATTTTTTGAGGATATTCTTGTTAGCAATTCTTTTATTACTCTCTTGCATTGATGATATATAAGCATGTTTGTACTTGTATCATGCTTTAACTAAGTAAATTAAGATGTAGCCATTTATAATTTCTAATATGATATAATCTATAGGAATTATAAGTTTAATATATTCCTTCAATTATTTGAATATATTCTCTTACCTTTATATAGATATATTTATACTAGCATTATATATAATTCAGTCAAACTAAGATTTAGCTAGTCGATCTTTTATGATTTCTAACAATACGTACTTTGAAATCTCCTTGAGCTCCCTCTTGTAAATGCTTTGAGTCATGTTGAACTCCAATTGACCTAATTCGAGCACAATTGAGTCCACATTAATCTCTTTGATGTGACGAGAATGCTCGATGAACATTTGAGACTGAAACTTTGGAATTCTATGGTGCAAAGGAAGCTCCAAGGCCATAGCTATGTGTTGTGCAAGCAATGGATTTGTTGAAGAATTTGATCTCATAAAATCATTTAGATGTTTTAGAGCAAATTCCTTAGCATCATCTATTTCTTCTTCTCCATCCATAGCAAGAAATGAAGCCTCATAGAGGCTTAACATTCCTTTGATATTATCAAATACAGAAGGCTTGAAGCACCCGCTCTCATATTTGTAGCTTTTAACCAATAAATCTATACATAAGTACAATAAAATGCAATTAATTAATAAATTAGATATCATAAGAAAATTAAATACAAATGCAATCATGCCAAGGCAATGAATTAAAACAAAAATTAAAGCATATATAGGTTGTTACCTTCTATAGAATTATCTTTATTTTGTTTCATTTTGTAATTAGGTAGGGGTCTTTGACTCCTAGATTTTTTTTTTTTTTTTGTCATATTCATTGTAGCTCTTCGAGCAATAGTGACTTATAGATCCATTTAAGATCTTATAACCGCTTTTTTATTATTAACGCGCCCCAAAAAATAGAAATTTTTTTTATAAATAATACAATGAAATTTAAAAGGCACGCGCAAAAAAAACTATTTGATACTATAACTAACTATTAAATATTCATAAGTAAAATCATAATTGAAAAAAGTATGAGATGAAATTTTTGTAGGAGATTTTCATGCATAACGAGTTAAATAGTGAAGTATGTCGATAGATTTAAGGCTCAAGTCCTGTTGACCCGGACCCGAAGCGGGTCGGGTTTGGGTTCGAAAAACTAATCCATTTGCAAAAACGGGTCGGGTTGAATAGTGCGAGGTCAGTTTCGGATTCGACCCGAACCCGACTCGTGATGCCATATATATATATACCATTTCATGAATGATAAACAAGACGACATATCAGTATACCTGAAATGTAGAGATGATTGCAAGCAGTAGGTGATATATGATAAATTATTGAAAATTAGTTTTGTTTACTACAGTTGATTACCTTTGGAGATCTCAAAACCGTGCTGCCTTGAAAGCCTAAAATACAAGGCCATTGCATAAACGTCGCCATTGAATTCCATTCTTACCTTTTCTTCTGAATATTTCATCAAATTTAACAAATATTTGATTTCCTCTTCAAAATGATAAGCCAACCCAAGCTTTTGCAATGAATCAAAAAGCTTCAGCTGATCAGCAAAACTCTTCTCCTTAATAAGACGCTTAACATCCTCCTTCAGCTTCTCTCTTCTCTTTTCATGCACATCTCCCTGCGTAGAAACATTTGATATATAATAGAAACAAGAAGAAAAAGATATCTGAACAATATTAATGTATATTACAGTGAAAGAAGTTGTATTCAGAGACTGTATTTGACTGTCATTCCATGAGCTCGGCTGATAATTTGTTGTTCTTCGAAGGGAAGTGGAAGAGTTCGAAGCAACAGAGTAACACTTATGGCGAAGGCGAAGGTATGGAATTGATGAGAAAGACTGGGCGTTGTGCTGTATTTTTAATGGCAGGAAGAAGCCATAATTATGTACAAAATCAGTAGAAAGATAAAGATTTGAAGAAGTAGGGAGGCAGTTCATTCTTCTTATTAAAGAATACAGAGGGGGAAATCAAGGAGGAATTCAAATGAAAGCTGGATTAATTGAAGAAGGCCTAATGAAGCTATCTCATAATTTATAGCACAGCTGCTTGTTACAAAGGGACTCTCTCTTTTGTTTTTTTGCTTTAAGCAAGAGCAATTTCTATTTGAGTTTCTTTTTAGGTTTCGTTTGGAACAGCTTTTTTATTACTTTTTAAAATAACTTTTTAGTTAAAAATTTTTAACTAAAACACCATTTTAAAAAGCATTAGAAAAGCTGTCCCAAAACGAACCCTTAATTTGTCATTTCCTGAACGCTAAAAGCATTTTGCATGCGTTTACTTCAGGTACCATGTAGGAACCATATACAAACAGGAAGTCTACGAAGAGAAAATGGATCAATTATTACATCCGGTTTCCGAATGCGTTTAGAGACCAATAACTACGCGCCACGTCACCTAAAACTCAGTATTTTGGACTCGGTATTGCTCAGTATACATTCGGACCGTTCGGTTTTTGACCGGATGTAATAATTTCTCGAGAAAATGACACTGAGAAAGGTAAAGGCAGTCACCACATATGGCGCACGGAACATATGGATATATACAAAGGCTAAAACATCACTCCAACAGAGGTTTTTATAAGCTATTGGCCCTTTTTTTTTTTGGACATTTAGATCAATTAAGGAAAATTCATACACTCATCACATATATATGTAAGTTTCGAATTCAAGATATCTTGGATGATAGTTAAAGCTCCCAAATTAAGAGAATAATTGATCAACATTTATTTGCTTTTCCGAATAGCAGCTTTTTTCCTTGCCACTCCTTGCTGCTCTTGTTACCACTTTGCCCATAATACCTTTACATGCCCCCTCAAATTAATGACGGGATTAGCTCACGAGTGGAACCGACTGATGGAAAGAGACTTGGTAAAATTATTGTTAGGGATGCAGAGTAAAGCACGCAACGAAACAACAAGAAAGTAAAAATTGCGGAAATTATACGACAACAGGATTTCACGTGGAAAATTTTGAAATTGGAAAAAAAAATCACATTGCCACACCACACCAAGAAATCCATTATGAAAATTAGGAGAAATAAATACAGAGCTCTCTTCTCTCTCACTCTCTCCTTCCTTATCTTATCTTTTACACTGTTCTCACATACAAAAATAAAAGAGAGAACCATCTTTATACAACCAAGGGACGCCAACCATGAGAAAAACTAGAAAGAAAATTGTTCAGTCCTCCTTGAAGCGTTGCAGCGCCAATTGGGAGTGTTGCGAAGCTCAAACCTCTAATCCTGGTTCTTCTAACAATGTTGCAGTGCTCAAACCCATAGCACTGTGGTGCCAAATTTAGAGCGATGTGGCACTCCACTCTCTGCCATTTCTCCTGGCAAACTCAACACACCAGAGCATTCGGGTATAGAGCACCAGGGGCACTCAAGTACACAGCGTCGGAGCATTGAACAAAAAAAAAGTTCAAGTGCAAAGCACCCTAACCTAAGTTGGGGGAGAACCACCCACACCCCCCAACGAGTACGAGAAGCTCAGTTCAATTGAGGCCTAGGAGTCATTCCGATATTTATTATGGCATATTTGTTTATATTTTAGTCAATTTCAGTACCATTTTAGTAATTACCTAAATGCTTATTCAATTTAGGATCAGTATCTGCTTCAGCTTTACTTTTTATATAGTACTTTCCTTATTTCAATATTTTTAGCTCTTTGCTTTGAATTATTGATTCATGTTTTAGGTTATCATAACCTACTAAACTATGTTAGCTCACTCCTACTTTTTGCTTCCTTTTTCAGGCTAAGGAAAGAGTAAGGAGCAAACTATGTAGTTTCTCATATCAAGTTTTGATATGTGCTATAAGTATGGATTTTGATTAGTTTTCTTTTTATAGGCTTGGCTTTTATTTTTTGTTGTGAGCTTCTATTGCCAAGCGTTGTGTAGATAAATCTTAAATTGTACATGTATTTTTCGATGACTTAAAGAAAATATTTATGAGATCCTATAGTCTTCTTCTTTATATTGATATTCAATAGTTTCTCTATGTTGTGTATAATTTGGATGTTCAATTCCTCAACATTTCCCCAACTAGATATTGGGGTTAGTTTTTACTTCTTGCCACGATCTAGCATGCATGGTATGACCAATGAGATTTGGTCGGGTCATATCAAGTCGAGTCATGCAACATGTATCTCTACTTGCTTTAGAATAAAAATGGAGCAATGAATGTCTTTAAGGTCTTTAAGGCAGAAGTAAAGAAACAACATAAAAAAATTAATCAATATTGTGAGAACTAATATAGGTGTTGAGTTTTAAGGAAGATACACTCAAGATGGTAAAATGCTTAGTCCATTTGCAAAGTTTCTTTAAGAGAATAAGATTGTTTCCTAATATAGTTTGTCATGGCTCACCTTATCATAATGGTATATTTGAAATAAGAAATCGAACATTGATGGATATGGTGAGGAGCATGATTGGATGCTCCAAATTACCTAATTTCTTATGGGATAAAGCCCTCAAAATGATAATGTACAAATTAAATTGAGTTCCAACAAAGGTTGTTTCAAAACACCTTTTAAATTATGGAAAGGTAAGAAACTAAGTTTATGACATGTATGCGCGCGTATTGGGATACCCAGACATAGAATTTACAGTTGAGATGTTAAGAAGATGTCAAATTGTCCAATTATATACCACAAGCGAGCTATAAATAAGGTGATGAGGTATCTTCAAGGTACTAAGGACTACATACTTATATATAAGTGGATTGATAGTTTGGAGGTGACTAATTACTTTAATTTTAACTTTACTAGCTATATTGATTCTTAAAAATTAACTTTTTTACGCATCTTTATGTTTGCTAGTGGAGCTATGTTTTAGAGAAGTGTTAAGCAAACTTTAATTGCTACTTCTCCTATAGAAGTTTGGTCTGTATATAGTTTTGAGGCTACCTCACATGGTGTATGGAGGAAGAGTTTTATTTTTGGGCTTAGGCTTATGGATTCTATATCTAGGCCATTAAGGATAGATGGTAACAATTCAATTGCAGTCTTTTAAGCTAAAAACAATAAGAGTAGTAGTTGAAGTAAGTACATCAATATTAAGAACTTAGTCATAAGAGAACATGTTAAAGAGAAATATAGATTATTGAACACCTATGCACTAAGTTAATGATAGATGATCCTTTCACTTAAGACATGCCACCATAAGTTTAAGGATCATGCTGATAGTATGGATCTTAGTCATTTGGTTGATTTCATTGTATTGATAAATATTTTAAATGATAATCTTTTATAAATAACATTGTCATTGCTAGGTCACAAGTCCTGGATGAGAAAAATAGATGTTGTATTAGGTAGTCGATAGCCAACGTAAAACTTTTTTAATAATTATGACATAAATCTTTTAAAAAATTATATTATTAATAGGGCATTCCTTGAAAGCGACATATTGTATGGCCTGAATATAACGATAAGTGTGTAAAGGCCACTGCACCACTGCTCGAGTGTAGTGTTAAATAGGCATGGGTTCCCACATCAAGGATGAATGTGGGCAAAAAAGCTAGTCCATAAAACTCAAATTAAGATAGGAACTTAGAATATAAGTTCTTTTATATGAAAGTTAATAGAATTAATATATATTATTATTCATAGGAAGATAAATATTCTGTACATTCAAGAAACTAAATGGGTTGGAGAGAAGGCTAAGAAGATTCATAGTATAGGATTTAAAAATTAATATTCAGGTAGGAGTCATACAAGAAATGGTGTATGTGTGATTATAGATAAGAGTTTAAAGGATAATATTATAAATATTTAAACATTTGGTTGATTTCATTGTATTGATAAATATTTTAAATGATAATCTTTTATAAATAACATTGTCATTGCTAGGTCACAAGTCCTGGATGAGAAAAATAGAGGTTGTATTAGGTAGTCGATAGCCAACATAAAACTTTTTTAATAATCATGACATAAATCTTTCAAAAAATTATATTATTAATAGGGCATCCCCTGAAAGCGACATGCTATATGGCCTGAATATAACGATAAGTGTGTAAAGGCCACTGCACCACTGCCCGAGTGTAGTGTTAAATAGGCATGGGTTCCCACATCAAGGATGAATGTGGGCAAAAAAGCTAGTCCATCAAACTCAAATTAAGATAGGAACTTAGAATATAAGTTCTTTTATATGAAAATTAATAGAATTAATATATATTATTATTCATAGAAAGATAAATATTCTGTGCATTCAAGAAACTAAATGAGTTAGAGAGAAGGCTAAGAAGATTCATAGTATAGGATTAAACATTAATATTCGGGTAGGAATCATACAAGAAATGGTGTATATGTGATTATAGATAAGAGTTTAAAGGATAATATTATAAAAATTAATAGAATTAAAGATAGAATTATAGTTTTAAAGATTGTTGTTGATGCTAAGATTGCTAATATTATAAGTGTTTATGCTCCTCAAGTAGGTTTAGATATGGCTTAAAATTTTAAATTTTGGAATGACTTAGAAGAATTAATATAAAAGATATATCTTGAAGAAAGAGTTTTCATTGGAAGAAGTTTAAATCAATATGTTGGTAGAGATGTAGATGATTTTAAAAGCATTCATGATGGCTATAGGTTTGGAATGACATATGAAGGTGGTAAGATCATATTAGATTTTTCTTTTTATAATTTTTTAATTGCTAATACATTATTTAAGAAAAGAGATGAGCATCTCATCACTTATAAAAATGAATATAGTAAAACTCATATTGATTATTTTCTTAAAAAAATAAATAATTTAGATTGCAAAGATTGTAAAAATTATTCTGAGTAAAAATTTATATACCCAATATCAATTTTTTTTTTTGGACTTTAAGATAAAGGGGAAAAATAAAAAATAGAGTCAAATGGTATTCTAGGATTAGATGAGGACATTTAAAAAATTTAAAAAATATATTTTTGAGAATAAAATTTTAGATCTTAAGATTTTATTTGTGTATGAGGATATTAATATTATGTGGGAAAAAATGACTAATGATAT